TACAATAATCTATTAAATATCTTTTTATCTTTTCTTTTTAATAGTGACATATGATTACACATTACAAAATTGATGAGTTGACAATCAAATTTATTTTTTATGTAATCAATAAGTTTTAAAATAATTAAAAGCAAAATAAATCATTTTTTCCCTTTGTCTTTTCATTTCCCATTTCTATCCTCATCTTCTTCCTAAGCCCAAATCCCCGATCCTTTCTACCTGTGCTTGAACTTAATCCCCCTCTCATCCATTGATTTCTTCTTCTTCGCCAAACCTTCCTCCATCAAAGCCCTCAAATCTTCACACCAATCTTCATCTCAATTAAAGCTCAAATCTTTACTAATTTGCCCCCATTTCCTTCCCCCTTCTGTCTTATCCTCTCATTTCCCTCCATTATCATCTCTTTTTTTTTTTTTTCAAACCTTTGCTGGGTTCGTCGCGAACCCAGGCATGACTTGGGTTCATTGTGCCTGAGTTCATCTTGGGTTCGCGACGAACCCAGAGCACGCCTGGGTGGGTTCATCTTGGGTTCTTCGCAAACCCAGGATGAACCCAGCTTGCACAACTAGGTTGGCAATGAACCTAGGCGCGAGCTGAGTTCTCAATCTCTGTCAAAAAAAAAAAAAAGCATGTTCTTCTCAAACAAACAACTCCAGAAACATCCAGCAACAAAATCGGAAATGAACCCAAGAGCAGCAAAAAATTTAGAAAATTAAAACATCATGAGACACACACATGAAAGCAAACTCAAATCTATAAATTTTATTTATGGGTTCATAAACTTAGTACAATGAAAATCTCATTCAAATAGCCTAATCAAGCAGAATATTCCAAGATTTACAAGAAATAGATCTTAAACACATGGGGCCAATTTCAAGGAGCCGATTGCTTTTGGGTAACCAGTGCATGCCTGGGTGGGTTCTGATGAGCTAAATTTATATACATATTAATAGGGAATTTTTACTTTGATTTTACTGATATTTGGATGAGTTTTATAGGATTTTGTTTGATTTTACATGGTTTTCATTCTTTGTGTGGGAAATGATTTAATTGGAAGAAATCCTACTTTTTAGAAGTAAATTGAAGAGATTAGAGACTTGAGGATCAACTTGTGCAGAATCCAAAAGTCAGGAACCAAATCTGCTATTTTATCATTGAAGAAATTGCAAAAGTAGACCAGTATGGGTGTAGTGTCGACACATGATCGGGGTGTCGACACCATGTGCTAAACGTCCAAAATCAGATTCTGTTTCTTATTTTGTGTCAACACGTAATCTAAAGTGTCAGCACCACGCGATCAGCATCTAAAATTCAGTTTTCTATTTCTATTCTAAGTCCTACTTCTATTTCAATTAGGGTTTCTAAAATCCTATAAATACCCATCCAAATTCAGAATGTGGAGAGTTTTGAGAGGTTGGTGGCAGCCCTCTTTTGGGCACTCTTGGAGGTCAAAATAGAAGATTCATCAATAAGAAGATCAAGGATTTCAATTATCTCAAATTAAGTTTTATTTTTCCTTAAACATTCTTATGCTCATAATTGTGATTTTAGATTTTATTATTTTTATTATGAACTGATTTATTCTATTAAGGCTACGATGTAGCCTAATTAATTCAATATAAATTTTGTGATTTTATATTTTCAATTAAAGTTATTTGCATGGGGAGTTTATATTATTGAACTTAATGCATTGGAAGCCTGATCATCTTTCGATTGATTTAGTGATTTATGCATGAACTTGAGAAAGAATTGCGTAGATTAGACCAATAATAATATAAACCGTGTGCTAGACTATGAGACTGAGAGGTAATTAGCTCACATGTGGTAGTGGAGGAAGAGAAGAGAGTTAGGAGCTCCCCCTTCTTAAGTTATAGGTTTCCATAGAATTTAATGCTCATTAGTTTGTTTAAAATTACATAGAGATATGATTAATTTAACAAACCAGTGAAGGATTAACTTGACTTGAGAAAGCTAGTTAATTAATTTAGGGAAATCCGCCATCACATGCAATAACACTCAACAATTTGGTAATCCAGAATTTATATTGATTGATTATGGTGAAGTCAATGCCTTAGTATCTCATATCTTGGTTATGTTTAATTTAATTGTTATTTTTCTTTTATTATTTTTTTAGTCAAACTTTCTTCCCATTTGGTTGTTTAAATAAATTTGGATTAATTATTTTGGTACTTAGTTAGACACAATCTTCGTGGGTTTGACACTCTTCTCATCATTATATTACTTGGAGTGACTAGTACACTTATTAGGGTGATTTTAGTGCATCAGGTTTATCGCGAACCTAGGTGAAAGTTGGGTTTGTCTTGGGTTCGCGAGAACCCAGGCTCCTGGGTTTGCAAGGAACCTCGGATCCTGGGTTCCTCGCGAACCTAAGATCTAATTTTCAGAAGGTAAAGCTGAAAAAAAAAAAAAGAAAAAAGAAAAAGAAAAAGGAAGGCTGGAGGAGGGAGAGGATGAGACAAAAGAGGGAAGAAGATGAGGGTAAATTAGCAATTAAAGTCTCACAAAATAACTTTTAAAATATTTATAATGGTAATTATGAAATTAAATGATTGTTTATGATATATTAGACAAAAAATTGTCATGTCATCAATTTTATAGATGGATTTTTCATGTAATTTAAATAAAGAAAAAAAATTAAGTTTTTTTGTTAATTAACCTACCACGTTAACCAAAATTTAACGGAAAGACTAAAAAAGAGTTGGATTTCAAACAGTATGGACTACAGAAAAGGATTTTTTAGGTATAAAGACTAAAAAAGAGTTTTTTCCTATAGTGGAGGGATCAAAAAGGTATTTAACCAAAAAAAAAAAAAAAAACACTTACCTCTGCGTTTGACAGAATATAGAATTGCAGATAGCCAGATGTCCAGTATCTGTATATGTATGGTAGAAAACGACAGTACGTTATGACGACGGTGGTGACGAAATTAGATGAGAATTTTAATGGTTTAAAGCCAATTGTCGTCCCTTTACTTTAATATTTTATTCGTTCTTGTCCCTCTACTAAGGACATGTTCGTTATCATCTCTCTACTCTACCAAAGAGCCAAAACGTCATCCCTCTACTTTGCTTTTTTTGTTCATTGTCGTCCCTCCCCTAACACCGTTCATGTTGCCATAACTGCTGACCCCGTTAAGTCCTAAACGGTCAGCAGTTAAACCCATTTGTTTTATTTTTTTTTCCACTTGTGCTGCCACATGTAATGCCACCTGTGCAAGAGTTGTAGGGACCAATTTGCCCAGTTGCTTTCAAAATTTTTTTCATTGCCGGGACGCGAGATGCCAACGAAAAAGCCACACACCCATTTCCAATCCTACTCCCTCGGGCTCCGGCGGCCTGAAGACGCCACACACTTAGTCGACGGGTGCCTCTTTCATCACCACCAGGGAATCATCTCCATCCGATCTTCCTCATGGCGGATCCTCATTTACTGCCCCAGGCTCATGCCTTCCAAGTTCCGCTCCTCAATTTAAACAACTACCACTTTTACCATTGTTATTATCAACTGAAAAGAACAACCTCTACCATACTCTCTCAGTCGCTCCACCACCTCCAGCGTTTTACAATCACCGCACGTTAGCTTTCGTCCAACAATGGCCACCGCCACTTTCGCTGCTGCATTAGCCTTTATAGGCACCTACTTGCTGAACGTGCATTCGAGTTTGGGCCGGTTCCAGGCAAGGTTTGGGGTTGGCGCAAAAAAGGCTGCGCCCAAGAAAGTCTGAAAGCCCAGTTCTGATCGTCCACTGTGGTTCCTCGGAGCTTAGGCGCCCGAGTGGCTAGATAGAAGTCTGGTGGGTGATTACGGGTTCGACCTGTTCGAGTTGGGGAAATCAGCGGAGTACTTGCAGTTTGAATTGGATTCATTGGATCAAAACTTGGCGAAGAATCTGGCTGGTGAGTTGATCAGGATCCGTGAGTGCTTCGAAGTTAAGCCCACGCCGTTCTAGCCGTACACTGAGGTGTTTGGATTGTAGAGGTTCCGTGAGTGCGAGCTGATTCACGGGCAATGGGCCATGTTGGCTACTTTGGGTGCCCTCGCCGTTGAGTGGCTCACCGGAGTGACCTGGCCGGAAAGGTACGTCAGTGAATTTCCCTGCAAAAAAACACTAATTGGGTACTCAATTAAACTAATCGGAAAGGTACCTTGTTTCTGTTTTAGGTGGAGCTAGTAGAGGGATCGTCATACCTTGGGCAACCTCTTCCATTCTCCATGTCTACCTTGATCTGGATCGAGGTATTGGTGATCGGCAACAGATGTGGAAAAAAAAAAAAAGAACAAATGGGTTTAACTGCTGACCGTTTAGGACTTAACGGTCAGTAGTTATGGCAACATGAATTGTGTTAGGGGAGGGACGACAACGAACAAAAAAAGCAAAGTAGAGGGACGACGTTTGGGCTCTTTGGTAGAGTAGAGGGACGACAACGAACATGTTCTTAGTAGAGGGACAAGAACAAATAAAATATTAAAGTAGAGGGACGAAAATTGGCTTTAAACCGAATTTTAATTTGAAAACTTGCTTTGTGCTGCCTCGATTCTCCTTCTACTTCCATGACCAATTCCCACTAAAAAA